CAGACACGGTTTCTCCGTAGCTTCTATTGGTGGGGGCGTTCCAACGCTCAAGACAAATGAAAGATTGGGGAACCCCCAGATTCAACTTGCCTCTTGCCACCACCAATGTCAGCACTCCCAAACTCAGTGTCACTCGTGTCATGACGGTGCTTCACACCGGTGGGTCTCTGGGCACTGCCGGCCCTGCTGAGTGGTGGAGGGACCCACTGGGAAGCCCACATGAATTCACTGGGGTCCTGGGAAGTTCCGTTTCTCGGACATCAGAGAAATGCCCCTTGGTGGTAAGAGAGTTCAGGATTCCACCACCAGAAAAAAGCCACCTTTTGGTCTGTCCTTGGAGGAAAATCATTTGAGAGTTACAGATGTAACTTTGTAAACTTGTGAGTTACAGATGAGAACGCCATGCTTGGAAACTGCATGGGATTGCTGGCCTTAGGGTCCCAGGAATAGTTTCCTGCATAAACACACCAGGCTGAGGAGGCCCACACACCCACAGGAGTGGGTGGGGAGGCGGACCCTGGACTCTGGATCATGAACCCTGGAATATTCAGGCACCCCAAGCAGCAGATGTAGACAGTCCAGTCTCTCTGACCCTCCTTTGCTCACAGGTGGGCTCCTCCTCGGACCTGACCCCTCCCCTTCCAGAGCAAGGTCATGGGACTTGCCTGGCCAGTGAATTTGGAAGATGAAGGCTGCAGGTCACTTTCTGGAACAGGTCTTTGGAGCAGACAGTCCCTGCCCAAGAAGGGGCAGGCATCAGCAGTGCTCTGAAGGCACCAGGGGGTGCTCATCGAAATGAGCCTTTGTGTGGTCCTGCAGTATTGGCGGACAAAGACCACAGCGGGGAAGGGTGCTGGGGAACAGCCTGGCCTCAGTGGAAAGCCGGGTGGCATGGTGAGCTGTGGACCTGTAGAGGCCTTTCCCAGGCACTTGCCAGTTCTGGCACATTCCATAAGCAATGTCATCTGCATCTTGTCCAACTTTTCCTTCTTTTCCTTTTTTAGAGGCAGGGTCTCACTTTGTCACACAGGCTGGAGTGCAGTGGCTCAATCATAACCCACTGCAGCTTCAAACTCCTGGTCCCCAGCGATTCTGTCACCTCAGCCTCCCAAGTAGCTGGGCACAGGGGCATACCACCATGCCTGGTTAACATTTTTAGAGATGAGGTCTTGTTATGTTGCCCAGGCTGCTCTTGAACTCCTGGGCTCAAACAGACTCTGCATCTCACCTCGGCTTCCCAAAGCGCTGGGATCACAGGTGTGACCCACTGCCCAGCTCCTGTACAGTTTTTATACAAAAGGGTCTGGAGTGCCTGTCCAGCTCATGAGGCATGCCAAGGCACAGACCTGCACAACCTCAAGTCTGAGAGGAAGAGCAGAGTGGGATGGCGCCTGCCTTTCTACAGCCCCAAGGAGGGTTGAGGAGATACCTCTGCTGACGGACCCCACCCACGCCTTCCCCCACTCGCGTCCTGGGTCTGGGGTTTCCCCACCCGAGCCTGGCCCAAGTCTCACCAATACAGGGGCCTCCCGAGCCATGCTGCTTGATCAGTGGAGGGACAGGGACGTCGGCATTCTTTTCTTTCCCTTTCCCTCTGGTCTTGCTGATCTGCGCAGGCCACTCCCCTTTTCAGGTACCATCTGTGCCTTTCTTTATGCTTGTCTTTTGCCACATTCACCCCCCTTTCCCTCTCTACCTGAGGTAATCATTTGCATATTTTTAAGGTGCACTTTTACTGGAACACATTCTTGCAATGTGTGCATGACCATTTTGTGTGAAAAACTACTTTCTTTTTGTTAGCTTCTTTTTGTTAGTTAGGTGAGCTTTGTGTATAAAATTAACCATTTCAAAGGGAACAGTTCGGTGGCCCCAGGTGCACTCACAATGTTGTGCAACCACCGGCCTCTGCCTAGCTCCAAAGTCTCCTCATCACCCCCAGAATAAACCCGTACCCATTAGCAATCACACTGCATTCCCTTCCCCCATCCCCGAACAACTGCCATTGAGTCGTGGGCTTCCTGCCCACGTGCATGGAAGCCAATACCAAGGCAGCAGCTTTTGAGAAAAGAAAGGCTTTACTGCGTGCTGACTGCAAGGAGTCAGGAGGCAGTGCTCAAACCTGTCTCCCAGAGCTGGGGTCTGGGCAGGTTTCGTAGACATAGGGTCCTGAGGCATGATCTCATGGGATCCTGCAATGAGGTGATGCTGAGAGGTGAGGTTTGATTGGATCGTGCCGTGGGGTGACACCAGTGCTTAATCTGATTGGAGCATGGATCCTGCTGTGTGGTGTCAGTTTCTTTTTTTGAGGCAGAGTCCCGCTTTGTCACCTAGGCTGGAGTGGCAGTGCCAGCTCGGCTCGCTGCAACCTCCGCCTCCTGGGTCCAGGCAATTCTGCCTCAGCCTCTCGAGTAGCTGGACGTCCGGCTAATTTTCGTATTTTTAGTAGAGACAGGTTTCACCATATTGGCCAGGCTGGTCTGGATCTCCTGACCTCATGATCCGCCCGCCTCGGCCTCCCAAAGTGCTGGGATTACAGGCGTGAGCCACTGCGCCCGGCCTGCGTTGACAGTTTCTTAATTCACTCCCCCATTCCTTGGTCTGGCACTTAGGTTCTGCCTGAGGCTGCAACCTTGGTTCGTCTGGATGTGTTCAGGTAACTTGCAATCTGGGGCCCGTGGCCACTGAAACACAATTCACAATTTTGTTATATAAAAGTTGAGCCGGGTTGGCCTGGCTCCACAGGTACACAACCACCAACTAAGTAGCTTCCTGTCTCGTGGGCTTTGCCGGCTGCCAGCATTGCCCCAAGTGGAGTCGCACACTCCGCCGCCCTTTGCGTCTTGCTTCTTTCACTCAGCATCAGACTTTCAGGCTCGTCCACATTGTGGTGTGAGTCACTTATTCCTTTTGATGGCTGAATGGTATTCCACTGTGTCCGTGTTTGCTTTATCCACTCATCAGGTCGTTTCCACCTTTGGTTGTTTCCACCTTTGGTTCTCTTTTTAAATCCTATTAATTTACTTAGAGACAGGGTCTTGCTCTATTGCCCAGGCTAGAGTGCAGTGGCATAATCACAGATCACTGCAGTCTCAACCTTCCAGGTTTAAGCAATCCTCCTGACTTGGCCTCCCAAAGCACTGGGACTGTAGGCATGAGCCAATGTGCCTGGCCTTTCCAAAGTTCTTGGGGAGGCCAAGGTGGGAGGATCATTTGAACACAGGAGTTTGAGACCAGCCTGGGCAAGATAGCAAAAATATTTTTTTGCTGTCTCTACAAAAAATTTTAAAACAGCCAGCTGTAGTGGTGTGTGCCTGTGATCCCAGCTACTGAAGAGGCTGAGGCAGGAGTATTGCTTGAGCCCAGGAGTTTGAGGCTGCAGTGAGCTATGATTGTACCACTGCCAAGGTAGAAAATTTCCCTGATATTTCAAGTTTGCCCTACGTATATTTTAATCATGAATAGATGTTGAACCTTATAAACTTTTTTGCATTAATTGGGATAGTCATATGATTTTCTCTGTGAGTTAATGTACTTTCTGTTTCTGTTAATGGCTAAGTAGTTCCTATCAGTTCAACCTTCCCATAAATAACTATGAACTGGATAAAATATTAAAAACACAGCCTGTAATCCCAGCACTTTGGAAGGCTGAGGTGGGAGGATTGCTTAAGCCCAGGAGTTCGCGACCAGCCTGGGCAACATGGTGAAACCCCATCTCTATGAAACCACAAAAATTAGACAGGTGGGTGGCATGTCAGACATGCGTCCGTAGAGACATTTTCTTTTCATCTGTTTTGAAATAGCAGATTACAGTTCTCACCTCTTTGGAGTGCTTCTCTTTCTGGTATGCTTTCATTGTCTGTAGGGATATTATTATTCTCTTTTCTCTTGCAATAATCTTACGGAGGATTTGACCTCAACACTTTTGCATTGCTTGTGTTTGTGAGAAATTGATCTTTCAGAGCTTTTAGAAGGAAGCATACTTTAGGATAACATCTTAATTTCTTGAAGCATGCATAACTGTGGAAGCTCGTTTTCCAAAATTTCCCTGACTCCATATCCTGCCTTGACTTTTTCATTTTGTCATTCTTGTCCATAACCTGCCCAATTTTGCCTCTATTTAATAAAACTTATCTGTCTCTCTTTCTCTTTTTGAGACAGGGTCTCACTGTGTGGTCCAGCCTGGAGTGAAGTGGCATGATCACATCTCACTACAGCCCCAACCTCGAGGGTTCAAGCAATCCTCTCACCTCAGCCTCCAGAGTAACTGGGATTACAGGTGCCCACCACCATGCCCCACTCATTTTTTTAGACAGGGGTCTTGCTATGTTGCCCAGGATGCTCTTGAACTCCTGGGTTCAAGTGATCCTCCTGCCTTGGTCTCCCAAAGTGCTGGGATTACGGGCATAAGCCACAGTGCGCAGCCTGAAACGTCTCTCTCTACTGGAGTTCGTTTTAGTAATTTTTCCTTACCTTTTCTCTGTCAGTGGATCACCTTCACTTGTCACTTCTCGTTTTCTGTGTTTTGTTCTCATCTCCTGTCTTGAGCAGGTTAGTGATGCCCCCCAGCCTCTGCCCACTGGTTGGTTTTTTCCAAGGAGCAGACCTTTGAAATACGAGCTGTCAGTGCTTCTCTGACTTGGGCTCCTTCACGCCTGCTTCTGTCATCTTTGCCCCTTCCTTGTGTTTACTTTCAGCACATGTTCCCCCCACCACACACATTTTCTTCTTTTTGCAGCTGGATGTTTAAATGCCTGCAGCTGTTTTGTGTGTGCAGGTGTGGACACGTACGCAACGACCTTTCCCTGGGCTTTGACCACACCACACAGATTCAGAGGAGTGTGTCTGTGTCATCGCCACTGTTTCTGGGAAGAGCTGGTTCAGTCTGTTTCTTTTCTGAGAGCCTCGGGAGGAGTGACCATCCCTCCTTTCTGTGTGTGGAAGAGGAAACTGGCAACAGCTCCGGCCGGGACAGAAGGACCCACACAGGTGATCTCAGAGGCTTGCTTTGTAAATATTTAATGATCTTATCAAATCTCAGGTGCACTCTGCCCCAGCTGGGTCCTGCCTGGCCAGCCTCTCTCCCCCTTCCCTCTCCTCTTTTGCACACTTGCTCAGCACCTCTGGACTCCGCATCCACCCACGGGATGGTTGGCCCTTGCCTCCTCTGGAGAGAGCAGGGCAGGAGGTGCTTAGGGGGCTGGAGGCAGCTGGGCTGGGCACTGTGCAGCCATGAGAATGCTAGAGGGGTGTCCTGGCCTCACAGCACTGACCAGCCAGCCAGCATGGCCACAAGGACGTTGAGAGTGGCCCCCAGAGCTGGAGAGAGAGCAGAGGCTGGCTGAGCAGGAGCTGGTGTGATTTCTATATTATAACATATCCATTTTGAGAAATAGGAAACACTGGCATACACTCCAGGGTACAAAGGGTTGGAGCAGCCACGGCCCCAGCTCACGATTCCAATCTGCAACCAGCTGTGGTTGAATTCACAGACGAGTGGGCCCCCGGAGTCGCCCTGGAAAGGAAGAGGGAGTTCTTGTGAACTGGGAGTCCCAGGCCTGTTGCCTCTAGCACCTGTCTGTCAGGGTGCAAGGGGGTGGCCCTGCAGACCCTGCTGGAAGGGGCCAGTGCCCCCCTCTCACCCAGCCCCCCTACTGGCTGCAACACGGCCCAGAGCTGCAGGGGAGGCCTGTTGCAGGCTTGTGGCGTTCACGCATTGCCATGCATCGCCCTGCTCAGCTCGGGGTATGGCTGCGGGGCTCCTGCTAGTCAGTGGGAGGCCAGAGTGGGGGTCCCCTGGGGGCCGCAGGCACAGGGAACCCGTGACCTCTGCCTCACAGACCAGGCGGGCGCACCTCACACACGGTCTTAATGTTCAGGATGTCCCCAGCACACAACATGTTGGGCATGATGTAGGACACGTGTCCATAGAGCAGGCGGCACCAGGTTTGCGGGATCAGTGGGAGCTGCACCTCCTGCAGCTCGTCTGAGGTTTCACCTGTGGGAGGAGAACTCCCATGAGAAGGCAGCACCTGCCTTGGGTGGGGTAGGAGTTCCCTGCCTCACAGTGGACAGCAACAGGCAGCCCATGGGGAGGAGCCCTGACCACACATAGGGAGGAGCCCCACCACACACAGGGAGGAGCCCCACCACACATAGGGAGGAGCCCCACCACACATAGGGAGGAGCCCCACCACACGCAGGGAGGAGCCCCGACCACACGCAGGGAGGAGCCCCACCACACCTAGGGAGGAGCCCCGACCACACATAGGGAGGAGCCCCGACCACACATAGGGAGGAGTCCCACCACACGCTGGGAGGAGCCCGACCACACGCAGGGAGGAACCCCGACCACACGCAGGGAGGAAGCCCGACCACACGCAGGGAGGAAGCCCGACCACAAGCAGGGAGGAGCCCCACCACACGCAGGGAGGAGTCCCACCACACGCAGGGAGGAGTCCCACCACACGCAGGGGGGAGCCCCACCACACGCAGGGGGGAACCCCGACCACACGTAGGGAGGAGCCCCGACCACACGTAGAGAGGAGTCCCACCACACGTAGGGAGGAGCCCTGACCACACACAGGGAGGAGTCCCACCACACATAGGGAGGAGCCCTGACCATACATAGGGAGGAGCCCTGACCACACATAGGGAGGAGCCCTGACCACACATAGGGAGGAGCCCTGACCACACGTAGAGAGGAGTCCCACCACACGTAGGGAGGAGCCCTGACCACACATAGGGAGGAGCCCTGACCACACATAGGGAGGAGTCCCACCACACAGGGAGGAGCCCTGACCACACATGGGAACCCTGACCACTCAGAGGGAGGAGCCCCTCCACACATAGGGAGAAGCTCTGCCACTCATAGGGAGAAAACCTTACCACTCATGGGGCATAGGGGAGGAAGATTGATCACAGACAGGGAGTAACCCCAATGACCCAGGAGGGGAGTCCTGACCACAGATGGGAAGGAGCCCCACCACGTATTGAAGGAGTGCTAACCGTAAGCCTAACTCCTAACCCTAACCCCAACAATATGTTTGGTTTCCTAAATATTTACATCAAAAAAGAAACAATTATAAAAGTTAAAACAAATAAAAGACATCAGACAAAGTAGGAGAGGTATTCTATGAAGAGTCAAGTCAGGGGGAAACAGGACAGTCTGGGGGTTGAGAGTCACACAGAGGGTTTTGTTTGGTTGTTTTTGTTGTCGTTGCTCTTGCTGTTACAGTGGTTTTGAGACAGGGTCTCACTCTGTCGCCCAGGCTGGAGTGCAGTGGTGCCATCTGGTCACTGCAACCTCCACCTCCCGAGTAGCTGGGACTACAGGTACGTGCCACCACACCGGGCTACTTTTTGTATTTTTAGCAGAGACGGGGTTTCACCATGTTGGCCAGGTGACCACCTGACCTCAGGTGATCCACCCGCCTTAGCCTCCCAGAGTGCTGGGATTACAGGTGTGAGCCACTGTGCCTGGTCTTTTTGTTTGTTTGTTTTTTCAAGGTTGAGTTTCGCTCTTGTTGCGCAGGCTGGAGTGCAATGGCATGATCTTGGCTCACCACAACCTGTGCCTCCTGGGTTCAAGTGATTGTCCTGCCTCAGCCTCCCAAGTAGCTGAAATTACAGGCACCTGCCACCACACACAGCTAATTTTGTATTTTTAATAGAGACGGGGTTTCTCCATGTTGGTCAGGCTGGTCTCGAACTCCCGACCTTAGGTGATCTGCCTGCCTCAGCCTCCCAAAGTACTGGGATTACAGGCACAAGCCAGCATGCCTGGCTGGTTTTGTTTGTTTGTTTTCAAAGATTTGTTGGGTGTGGGAGAATGGGAGAAGAGGGAAAATGAAAGAGGTGTTGTTGTGGAATGGGATCTCATGTAATGTCATCCAAGTGACCCAAATAAGCATGAGGGCTACTTTCCAGTTACATTTGGTTTCCTGGCCTTGGCCGGGGCACTGTAAGCCAGTCACGTGGCCCGTGGCTCGCCTGTGCATCCTGGAGCCCTGGGCTGCAGTATTACTGAATTCTGCCAAGAGGAGGCCACACATGTCTCATAGAAAGGGCAAGGCTATTCCCAGTGTCCATCTCAGGGCGTTAGGAAAATAGAAAGGCCGGTGCTCGTTGGAGAGGGTGAAGTCTGCTGCTCCTTTGATCGAGGTTGGAGCTTTCCGGTCTGTGGGCTTTGGTTCCTGAGGGCAACGGATTCTCTGCAAAGGCCCGGGAAGCCATGGATGTACTTTCCATGACTTGTCTGTCAAAGACTCAGGGTGAGAAGTTCCCTCAGGGGAGGCGAGGTGGGCGGCCAGATGGGGCAGGGCCACTGGCGCAGGAATTATCGTCAGTGCTCCAGTCTCCCTGTGGGATTGGCGTCTGTGTTATTACGAGCCAGCGAATGCTGAAAGCACACCTCAGCAGGAACCAACGAAGAGTCCGTAGTTTTTTGAACGAGAATCAGAATGAATCCAGTTCTGTGCCCCAAACAGAGATGGACAGACACCAGACATATGAAGTGCATTCCGTGTCTCCGAGGGGAGAGAGGCTGAGCTGAGAGTGGGAAAGTTTTCCTGGAACAAGAGTCCCTTGAAGCGCGGATGCGCCCGGGGCCTAGAGATCGCAGGTGCACGTGCAGGCACCATTCGTGCCCTGCTGCTGGAGCTGGGATGTTTGTCCCCTCCAATCCCAAATTCAACTCTGAATGCTGGAGGTGGGCCTAATGGGAGGGGTTTGGGTCCTAGGGGTACATCCCTCATGAATAGATTAGTGCTGAGGAGTGGAGGGAGTGAGCTCTCGCTCTGTTAGTTCCTGAGAGAGCTGGCTGTTAAAAAGAGACTGGGGACTCCCCTCCCCTCTGGCCATGTGGCCCCTTCCCCTTCCCCATGAGTAGGAGCAGCAGATGCCGGCACCATGCTTCCTGCACAGTCTGAGAACCTCTTTTCTAGAAACTACCCAGCCTCAGGTATTCCTTTACAGCAACACAGATGGACTAGACGCCTGCCTACCCACGCGGCCGGGCAGAGGGGAGGATGCAGGCGTCTGTGAGGAGCTGCCGGGCGAGGCTTTACTGGGAGGTGCGTGGTCCTCCTTTCAGGTGAACTCAATCTGGACCTTGGGTCAACCCTTTCCTGGATGTGGTTAAAAATGAAAGATTATTGAAAAATGTGCTCAAGGATTACTGGATTTAAAGCAGCATCCACGCCAGTATAATGTGTGGAAGGAAAATACGGAACACAAGCATAAGGAGTTAAAGAGGAAAACAGAGTTGTGCAGTGTAAAGGGTTTGCATGCTGAGTAGTGACATCCGAGTTCGGGGAATGAACTAGTGGGTCCCCTTCCCCACGCTGTGCCACGTGTGGGTCCCCTTCCCTGCCTTTCCCACAGGGGTGCCCTCTGCCACGTGTGGGTCCCCTTCCCCGCCTTTCCCACAGGGTGCCCTCTGCCACGTGTGGGTCCCCTTTCCCGCCTTTCCCACAGGGTGCCCTCTGCCACGTGTGGGTCCCCTTCCCCGCCTTTCCCACAGGGTGCCCTCTGCCATGTGTGGGTCCCCTTCCCCACCTTTCCCACAGGGTGCCCTCTGCCACAGGTCTTGTGGTTCCTCCCGTCGAGGTGTGGTGTTGTATTTCACCAACTTGCGCATCTCAATTTTGCCACAGACATGCTTTGGTCAAACGGAGTTAAGCAGGCGCTTGGAAAAGTGCTTGTTTCTCACAGCCCCCAGCTTAGGCTGTCCCAGGCCAGCCAGCAGCCCGATGGGGGAAGCTCAGCCCAACCAGAAGAACCCACAGGTCACGTCACCGACCCACAACTGCCTGAGCTCAGTAAAGGCCTGTTGCCGGGTGAACCAGGGCTCCTCACTCTTCATAATGCAGCGTTCTTGTGGCAATAAACGGTACGGAAGTGGTATCTAGTAATTAGAGGCTTCTCTAAAACACCAAAAACGTGGTGTGGTTTTGGGGAGCTGGTGGCTGGCAGCACGCACGGTGGAATGTGGAGAAATGAAGAGGAAACTGATAAAGGAGGTTGGGAAGATGGTGGCTTGGGGGATGAAGTGGCACAGAGTGTTGCTGGTGGAGACATGGAAGGTACAAAATGTGTTTAATGAACGTGAGAGACTTCGCAAGATGACTTCCAGGCTGAATGGCGAAGGCCAGCGGCTGCTTCTGGCTGAGGATAAGGCACCAGAGAAAGGAGAGGAACTGAGAAGAGAAGATGCCCGTTTTCAGACAGTCTGCAGGGGACACACAGCAAAGAAGGGTGAGCAAACTCCGGAAGGCACTAAAGAGTAGACACTGGGTTCTGCAGGGCAGCTGCTCCCTGCAGCACGGCTCCACTCTGCTGTCGTGCAATGAAAACAGGCAGAGGCAACGTGTAAACAGACGGGCATGTATGTGCTCAAGGAAGAACGTAGGGACACTGAATGTTGAGTTTTAAATGATTTTCATGCTTTATGAAATATTCTTCTTTTGGGTTTTTCTCCCCCAACCATTTAAAAGTGTTGGCTGGGTGCACTGGCTCACTACGGGTAACCGTAGCACTTTGGGAGGCTGAGGCAGGAGGATCACTTGAGCCCAGGAGTTTGAGACCAGTCTGGACAACACAGTGAGACCCCCATCTCTCCAAAAAATACAAAAATTAGCTGGGGGTGGTGGCACACGCCTGTAGTCCCAGCTACTTAGGAGGCTGAAAAGTGGGAGGATTGCTTGAGCCTCAGAGTTTGAGGCTGCAGTGAGCTGTGATCAGCCCCCTGCACGCCAGCCTGAGACCCTGTCTCAAAATATAAAATAAGATTTTAAAAATGAAAGCGTAAAAGCCATCCTAAGCTCAGACAACACAGAACCAAGCAATGGAATGGATCTGACTCCTCGTCTGTAGTTTCCTGACAGGACCTGGGGTGTTCTGGGTTGGAAAATTAAACTGTGTCTGTTCTCAAGTCTTTCTAGCTAACAAACTATTCCCAAGATAAAATAAAGCCTAGGGGCACAGAGAACATTAAGC